GAAAAAAGAACCCGGTCGTAGATAAACTGCTAACGAAGTGTATTCCAGGAATTACGATAGCATTAGCAACAACAATAGCAAACATCATCAACATCGTCACCATAACCACTGGTAGCTCGATAACTTTCATGCAACTTGGCTCTTTGCTAAATTTATTATGATAACTTGAAATAAATACCGCATAATCTGAACACATGTCAGTAAAAGCAATGAGAGCAACAGCAACAGCAACGAAAGAGCAGCTTTATTACCACAAGAGAAGTTAACCTAATTCACGTTTATTTGCGTTCTTTTTTATTCTTTCTCCTCATATATACGTGCAATATACATACGCTCTGCCTCTTATTTTCCTTATTCGATCTCTCTCTCTCTCTCAACGCGTGTGTTTCCCGTTTTTCCTCATATTTCGTATATAATATATGGCGCTCCGCAAAGAATGAAATTGATGTCGAGTGCATGAATTGTATGGAAAAAAAATCTTTTTGTCATGCCTATAATAATAACGTGCGGCGGATGAATGGTGTGTACATTGCTGCCGCCGAATGTTGCTGTTTTATTCCACCCCCGGCTAAACTAACGCCATCAAACAATGTTTATATTTCGATTTATATGTATTCAATAAATTTCGGACAATTTAAACTTGATTACTATTTGTTTACGGCTCGATACCGCCCACCAATGTCATATGTTCTTATTGATTATACAATAAATAATGTTTTATGTCACGGACTTCTCTCAAGCAAATTACTGTATGTTCAACAATGAAAAAAAGTTCGAAAAATTTTCTTAAGTGATTATTAATACCGGATGAACATTTTGTGACATAGATAATGCCGAAAAAGTAAATAAATCGCATCGTACAAAGTGCAAAAGTTCATTCTGAAATGCTGTTGTTTTAATAAAATCTCAAATTAATGCATGTTTTGCGAATACTCTAGTTGTTTTTTCTTCTTCTTCTTCTTCTTCTTCTTCTCAAAACACAGAAACTCAATAGTCGCGGTGCATTAGACATCAAATGAATGTAAAGCTTTTCGGAAGTGATATTATTTCGATTCCACTTCATTGATTCAATGCGAAATCAATGTGCGTACTCTTATTTCTATCCTATCAAGTTACATTTCAATCGTAATATCAAGAAATTTGCATGTTTATTTGTCATTTCGTGAGAAAAAAAACCATCCACGTTAAGAAATCGTGCACGATATCATTATCATGTTATTGAATTTGATTGAATCAAAATTGAGAGGAAATGAAATTTGATTTTCCATTGTGACAGTGAACTAGACACTTGGACAATTCACAATGTAAAATTATAAATAAATGGCCTTTGATAACATAAACCATCTACGGACGCGTACGAATTTGCGTTTTTGTCATTCAATGTTTCGAAAACAACAAAAATCACCGGCCTTAACGTACTTGTAAATGAGTCGAATGAAGCATAAAATATTTATGCCCAACAAATTTACATTCCGTATTGTTTTTTTTTCTTTGCTCTCCTCAAAGTTGTGTTTGACTTTTTATGCGCGACACAATCTTAAATTCAATGCGACTATTACCTTCTTTCATAAACTTGAATGCTATGTCGCAAAAATATTAAAAACAAAACATGTTTGACTTTGTGCACAAAGCCAAAGAAAAACTTAAGACTTCTGAAGTCATTATTAACAATAACAATAATTGTAAAATATTTGGACTCAACATCAAACGACTGAAACAACTCAATAAAAACAGAAAAAGGGAGAAAATGAACGATGAGCAAATAAAAACGGCAAAAAAGATGCACTGGGATTTCCTGTAGAACAACAACTTCACACATACGCAGCAAATAAAAAAAAAAACGAGAAAACATCACGAGCTTGAAAGATGACTTGAATATAATAACTGTATTTATAACTCATTACGTGCAACAATAAACCCAAATAAACGTCGGATAATAAAAAAAAGAACGGAAACGATTTCATGGGGAGTATGGGATTATCAACGGTTTCCTTGAATGGAAAATACGCACTTTCACATTGCAATGCAAATTTCGAAATGGTAAGAATTTGATTGCGGTGCCGAGTATGAAGTCATTAACTGACAGAAGAAGAGGAGAATAGCAAGAAAAAAATTATCAGATTTCACAAACACATTTGAGTTTCATAGAAAAAAGGAACGAAACTGAACACAAACGCTCGAAATACATTTATGTATGTTTTTTTTTTTCCTCGAAATTCGGTCCTTATCATTCCCATGGTACATTGAAAACACTGACAACACGTCTGAATTTTAATTCATTCGCCTATTGTGTGATCTTTGTGTGTGTGTGTGTGTGTGTGTGCGTTTTTAAATCCTGTTTTTCTATGTAACAACAGCAAAAGCAAATTTTATAATTCTTTCTTGTTCTTAGGGCAACGCAGTAAAATGACAAATGATCCTCTCGAAAACCATGCACGATTTTGTGCAAATAAAAGTTTGACGAACTAATTAGACGACTAATTAACAAGTAATGTTCGAAACTATTGCTTTGCAAAACTTTTGGCATTCACAACTTTATTTATTTGGATTCGAAACAAATTGCCGAAATAAACGAACAAGACAAGCAACAAAAAGAACAACGTAGAATGAGGAAAAAAAATGTTTGGGAATTGTTTGATTGTTGTTGGTGACGTGGGTATTGACTTAAAGATTTGAAGAACAATTAAAAAAAATAACAAAATTAAAAAAAAAAAATTTTGCTTCCGTTGTTATCATCTAATTGGAGTACTTTTTTGCTCTTCAGATGTTTACCATTCTGAGTACAACTTTTCCACATTAATTTGTTCCTCTTTTTCTCTCCACCATCCAAATTCGACTAGAAGAAGAGATTCTGTTTGTACGATTTAGATCAGGACCTTCTTGAAAATTAATGATAAAGTCTCACGTTTTGTTTACATAATTTATTCCCAACTGTTTTTTATGCATCAGAATAATAATAATACCCTGGACGCGTGCGTTTATCTTAATCCTTTTGAAACTGTGCACCATACATCCAAATTGTCACTTTGGTTTAGTTTGTTTTTGAATCTATTGTTTATAAAATGCAATAAACAACAAACAAACAAAAAATAACGGAAAATAATTTAAACGTTCATTTGTTTTGTGAAAATATGGCAATTGAATTAAGTATGATTATCATATCACTGATATTTGACACACACCAACGCAACGATCGATGTCATCACATTGATCTAGATAACCTTAACATAAAACGTTGAACACATTTCTCTACCTCGAACATAAATGACAAATTTAAACTTCCGAGAGAAAAAAAGAACATTGCACGTAAACAGTTCACAATAAAAACTTGACAAATAAAAAATTGAATAAAATATTTATTTAGAAAAACAATTACCTAAAACACAATTTTCAATAATTGATTGCTTTTGTTCAACGTTATTTACTGAAAAATGTCAACTCTTGTATTCGTTCATACGCCGACTTCATGTGCACACGTTATGCTGCACGGAAATGTGCGACTCGATGCAAATAATTTACGTAAAAATTTCTATAGACACACAAAAAAAAGTGAACGTTAGCGATTCGATAAGGGCTGCTTGATTGACCGATATACAAACACGACTAACAAGCACATGATGTTTTTCCGCGTAGCTCATGCCAGAGCATCAAATGTTCTCGATGGCATTTTGTGTTTTAGCATTTGTCTAGCATTTTCTCATTCACCAAACGAAAAAAAGAAACACCAACAGCAAATATGTATCGGCAGTGCGATGTGCAAAACGTGGATGTGTTTCGGTTCCTGTGCATGTTTTCCCAGTTTCAAGGGGGATACCACAGCAGAAAAGCACATTGGCTTGTGCGGCATCATACACACAACGTGTACGTTTGAACTACATCTCTCCACCATGCGAACTGATCCGAGTTTGCGCACCATATATCACATACCACTGTCGCCGCTGCCTCTGCCACTCAATTCATATGGATGGATTCAATTGCTCGTGCACACAACGTACAATCCAAAAAATAAAAGAAAAGAAAAACAAAACACACCGCGCGACAATGATGTGATGTTTTTCTTTTCTCGTAAATTGTATCTCACATTTCTTGTTTATGTTTGTACGCGCGAACCCTGAAAATACATTTTACGCCCTCTTTTACGGAGCGCATTTTTTGTTCTTGTTCGACAAAGAATTTTATTTGAAATTTAGTTGACAAACATAGAAATGTTGTATGAGGAGAATGAGATGAATAAGATATTGCATCCGTGCAATTGATTTACGTTGCAGCTTTCTCCCCTTTTTTTATTTCCGCTAGCTGTGCCCTCAACTGTAAAGATTTTCAAATGAACTTGATCTCGCAAACACTCCCGCTCTCTCTCTCTCTCTCTGTGTGTGTTTCATTTTCCATTTTCTCTCTCTGGAAAACTACACTGGTACTCAACACGTGTCTACTACGTGCACAATGATTACTTTGTTTGGTTATTGCCATAATTTTTGGCTTAATGCTCATTTTTCCTGTCTCTTGGGTTACTTTTTCAAACGCTTCCTTTCACTATGCATATATGCAGGAAATTCAGTGTTGTTTGGACGCACCGAATACATTAACAAAAAAAAATATACAAAATATATACTCTGCATTTGCTTATTTATAATTCACAAACAATGGTCTACATTTTTTGGTGACACATTTTATGGGAATCTTAATACTCTACTGGGACAATAAGAAAAAAAACCAAAGACAGCAATATAAATGTATTTATTCAATTGACCATTGGTATTTCGATGTGAATTTATTTTTGTTAAATGCTTCAACATTTCCATTGGGCATAAAACTGGCATACGATTCCCGTGGGCAGAATTTTTCAAGGTAATTTACATTCATTTTTTGCTTTCCAATAAGAATAACGGCTCATTTTCAAATGCAGACAATTTTTTTACTTTGATATCGACATGAGTTAACAAGAAAACAAGCAAACGAATCGGTAACGAAGATTTACAATGACAATTCCAATGTAGCTGTCAAGCAGTAATTTCATTGGGGAAAAAAACATAACAAACATATAGCACTGATTGTTAATATTCCTTCAAATTGAATTTGTGATCTTAGTTTTTTGTTGCATTTCATAATGTCTAATCTTCCACCGTGTCCAGGTAACTTGAAACCAATCGCACATTTCTTGAAAACAGCTCTTGAGCATGGTAAGTTTTATTTTCTTGAAATAATAAGTTTTTGATTGTAACTCAAGCAAATGATGATTAATAATAATGACGTCATTTTGTGTGTGATTTTTTTCTGTTTGTGACGAAAATTGCGACGTTAAGACGACCGAGATCCAGTCGTTGCATATTGGTGTCGATTATATGCTCTTCAAACTGGATTGAAGTTATCCGCAAAGCAACCAGATGAAACTGTTCTGTTTATTGGTGAGATTTTACAACAACAAATTCGATGATATTTTTTATTCACCATTATAACAATGTATTTGATGTATTTCCGGATCAGCTATTATGGATTGGCTGGAGAAATTCAAGAAGCAACATCATGACAACGAAGCAGTAACAAATGATATTGTGGCACAAGCATACTTGGAAAACTACGCATTAAAACTATTCACTTATGCTGATCAACAAGATCGAGCCGCTAATTTTAATAAGTAATAATGAAACGGAACATAATTATTATTATATTGGACAAATGTTAATCAAATATTTGTGCTAATTGCAGAAATGTTGTAAAAGCCTACTATACGGCTGGCGTTGTGTATGATACATTATTGACGTTCGGTGAATTGAGTGAAGAGGCAACGGACAAACGAAAGTATGCCAAATATAAGGCGGCCTACATTCATACATGTTTGAAAAATGGTGAAATGCCCGTCCCAGGGCCACCAAATGAAGGCGGTGAAGGTGATGACAACAATCCTGGTCAATCGAATGTTGGAAATGACGATGATACCGAAGCAGCACCGTCACAACCTCCGGCCGATGAAAATGAACCATCCACGCCCGACCAAAATAATCCATCACCACCACATAGTCCAATTGAATTTAAACCACATCCTAACCCAATGGAAATTAATGGTATTTTTAATGAAATTTATGGATTTAATTAGTTGTTCGATTTAACTAAATAAAAAATTAATTTTTTAACAGCTGATAAACTTCCATCGCCGCCAGTTGATCCAGAAATAAAGAATCCAGGCGGTTTTGAACCATATGTACCGACCAGTGGAACTATTCCACGATACGAACCACCACCGGTCAATGTTGCTCTCACACCCGAACAAATGGCAAAGGCACAAAAGTATTGTAAATATGCCGGAAGTGCGCTAAACTTTGATGATGTTAAATCGGCTATTGAAAATTTGGAGAAAGCATTACATCTTTTAACCATGGGCCAAGAAAAGGCTTAATCGCTTCCCTTATCCAAATTTCTCTAAAGCGATCAACACTTTTTCTTCTAAATTTCTATTTTATACGCAATGTTATGCAATTCTTGACCAACATGAAAATGAAAAACAAAAGCAACATCTAAATTTGTATAAAAGAAGAATATATCGTTTCTTTTTTATTTAAGCAAAAGCACATAAAATATACAGTATATGAAATATGTATTGGTGTTTTTATTGAATATAAGCATTCGACGCGTTTAAATCCCGAAAGATATTTCGGCAACCGTGGCACAATGATTTGATAAGGGTTTCAGTTTCTCCGTCACCATTCAATCCAAGCACTTGATTTTCCGCTTTTCTCAACATCGAATCGATATCGTTGACTTCGGTTTGGTCGGCACAGGCAGACACACAACGCGAGTACTCAATGGCAAACAGTGTAGCTGAATGTTCAAAATCTAAATTTGAATGACAAAATTTGCATGTTTGTTTTGGTTTGGTGTCATTGTTTTTGTGTTGGGACGTTGTTGATGCAGCGGCCGATATTTTGTCACCGGTACGAAATACTGTCGATACAGTCGATGCGAAATTCTCTTGTAAATTGTCAATAAATTGTTTGGTTAGACTTTGAATGCTTGTAGCTGAGTTCGTATTTTGCACGTTAAAACATTTACTTTGTTGCGTTAGTCGATTGAGCGTTTCGTCTAGCCGGATATATGTTTCAATTTCCAATGAGTTGATATTTCGCATAGGTCGTATGATTTGTGCTGCACAATTCGATCGATTATCACAAAATGATATATCGTTGGCAACCGATTTGGCACGACCCAATGCAACGCTCACCAACAGATTCGTTGCCACCTGATGGCTAATTGATGGTACAAACACATATTTACAATCAATTTGTGCGGCAACTTTTCGATAAATGTTCAATTTCGTTAAATTAAGAAAGTCTTCTTTTGCAGTTTGATTTCCAATCGCATTAAACTTTTTCAAAAACTTTTCTTCGGCGTGCAGTTGTTCTTTGTCTAGTTGAAAAGTTTGATGCGTTTTTATTGAAGTCTCACCGCTAATTGATGCATAATAATAAGTTTTGATGCCAAAATTCGGTATTATTTTAAAAGTTTCGTCAAGTTGTTGTTGTCGCTCGGTTATCGATTGACCCGATATGCAAGCATCGTCAACATAAATCGCATATGGTTGGATGGTTAATCTTTTAAATTGCTCTTGTGTAATACCGTGTCGAACCATATCGAACATTACACACGATTCAATTGTACCATCGAATACCAACAACACCTTTGCACCACGTTCAATAATTCGCGTTGATCCCATGGAAGCTCGTAATTTGTGACGAACATACTGGAAGAAACACGATTCGCACTGTGCATCTTTGAGATTTAGTTTAACAACTACATTTCGTTCATTGCATTTCTTGCAAATTTCATCGGATATGATGATGCTGGGCGGCAATTTTGGATCGACCAACATTGTATGGGCTCCACCCTCATCACCAAAATCGTCTTCACCAATACTACACATATTTTTTTAAAAATTAAATTCTTCGCTTTTAACTATTCAAAAGTTGAAATATTGCGGCAGTAATGTTTTAAAAAGAATTCCGATACGGCTCAAGAATATATAGCAACAATAACTTGCACGTTTTTCAAACGTCACAACCACATGTCATAATAAAAATTGTGTGTGATGCAGAATTTTCTCAAAAGATGGCGCCAATTATGTCGGTCTTTTTTTTTTGTTAAATTAATAAAAAACATTTTAAATGAAACAAAAACGTAATGATTTTTCAATCAGATTTTCTATTTTTGAAAAATCATCATTTATTCAATCAAATGCATAAAAATACGATTTTTTATTTTTTCAACATTCAAAAGAAAATGTTCATAGTATGACATAGAGCAGCAGGGTTCTATATAAAAACGGAAAACGCGAAATATTCGTTGAACAGTTTTGTACAGGGTTCACCAAAGAGTCCTTATTGATTTTCCAACGATATGAGCGCGTCCTTTTCGAGTCAGTTATTAGAACAATAGTTGATGTTTTGGATTTGCAAACAATAGACTCCATTCAATAGCAATATCGAAGTGTGTGTATACTATGTTTTCACTCTATCTAAATTGAAAATCACTAAATGAAGACAAAAAATATTTAAATTTTGCTGTTTAATTATTAGATTTCTTTATTTATTACATTGTCGCACGCTATCGCAATATAAACACACGTAAATTTTTGCAACATTTTGGCCACATTAAATCAATTAAATATTTTGATTCCGTAGTGACCAAAAACCGCATCACACACGATTAAAGAAATAAAAAAAAAATTCAAATTAGAAAGCAAAGCAAAAAAGAACCGAATTAGTTTATTTCTATTGAAACAGAGCAGTGAAAACGGTGAATTTTTTTCTCGTTAGTCTGCGACCGACAGATATTTTTACGATTGTGTAATCATAATAATAACGCTGTGCCAAGTAAATGAATGTTAAAGATAAATCAAAAGCTCATCATTCGACTCCGAAGGAAAAAACTGAATAATTGTAAAAGTGAATTCAGAAACGAAACCGAATTGTTTTCATTGATCGTTTAAAAAGTGGTTAATTTGAAATTGTATCCATAATAAAGGAAAAAGGTGAAAAAAAACCGAGTGTGTATGTGTGCTTGTAAAAGAAAGGCCAATACATAAATAATCGAAATTCGAACATTTTCATAAATCGACGCGTGACCAAAAACAATATCCAACAATGACACCACCATCATCACCACAAAGTGCACAAAATGCTCAACCACAGCCAGCTGGGACGCTCAATCAAAATACCGTTAGCTCATCAGTGGTGCTAAAAAGTTTATCAATCCTTTTGGGATTTTTCTTCATATTCATTGGTACCATGAAAATAACGCCATATATCAGCAAGGAATTGCACAAAGATTTGGTAAGTTCTGCCACTACCTATGTGGTCGAATGTATGAGAATCGAAATTGTTTTTGTTTGTGTCTTATGTGAAAAAGAAAAAAACCGTGTGGCATGTGCCTCGAATTCGGTTTTTCATTCTCTATAACTGTTTGATGTGCGCTTCTCATCATCGTTATTTCGACTAGTCGACGAGATACCTTGGATAAAGAAAAAATCGGCGATAGATAATTGACCAACAGAAACTACAATATATACAAAATAAATAAAATACACAAAATTAGTGGCATGTGTTATTTATACGGGATTTGATACAACATAAAAGAGATAGTGCAGTTTTGTTATGACCGGTGGCTCGACGCAGGTTTATTAAAATAGATTGAGCTAGCATTGCAATTTGTATGCTCACCGTCGTATTTGTAATTTTAACGGCGTCCTTAATGCATGTATTGATATTGAAATGAAAATCAACTAAATGTTATATGTTTAACATGTAACAGAACACAATTTTCGCGTGTATATCAAATTGAACAACAACAAAAAAAACACTAAAAAAAGGTAGAAGAAGGATGAAAATTAGAAGAAAAAAAATGAAGGAAACACACAAATCAGCGCCAGTGCGAAATATTCATATGTGGTCAGTGTTGATCGATCAGGCGATTGCTTTTCATCGCTATATAATCATTAGACACACTGTTTACTATTCAAATCAAATAAGATTTCAAACATTTTCAGCGATTTTTACGACCTAAAACTAATATAAATAAAGAATGTACTCGTTACAGAGGCAATAACATGTGTAAATAAATAGATATTTAATAGTATTGAGCACATAATAATAATTCATAGTTTGAGAGAGAAAGAGAAACAAAAAGAAAAGGAGAAATATATTTTGAATATTCGAAATATTTTCAAATAAGCCTGTGCGTTATTTTTATCCAATGAACTTGACTATTTTCAATATAATTTTAGCGACTTGTTTTGCGTAGGATTTCGAAGTAAACATGTGAAAGTTTTTGTACATTTTGATTTTTGTCGTAGTATTTTCTCTTATTATGTTTCGACAGTTAAATTTTGAATGAGTTTAATTTCATCGTGTATTCGATTTTAGTACTTTATAAAGAAGAAAAAAAATATGTTTATTTTGATATTTTCAAGGTTGAAGTACATTTTCTTCAAATTATGTATTTGAAATTATGTATGTGATTGTATTATATTTATATGTATATGCTTGGAATACACACCAACGTCTCAAAATTAATTCATGTTTTTTTTCACTGCTATTACAGCGAAAGGAGTATGTGAAATATTCAAAAGTATTTCCATTGGCGGATGTATTTGACATAAAAATTCCATCAAAATGGTATCGACGAGTCGTTGGTGGATTGGAAGTAGGGAGCGGCTTGGTGATGGCACTTATTCCGAATTGTAAGTTAGATTCGGTCAAAAAGCTGAAAAAAATCGTAATATATAGTTTTTTTCTCTAATCAATGTTTAAATAATTTTCAGACAAAATAAAGAATGCTGGAAATATTACGTTGCTTGCGTTGATGTTTTTGTCAATCTACAATCACTATATGGTTAGCGATGCGTTTGAACGAATTGGACCGGCGTTGGTGTTCACATTCATGCTTACCGGCCGATTAGTCGTATGGTATCAGATCAGCCGACGAGAGGCAAAATTAAATGCCGCTCAAGCTCAAGCAAATGGATTGAAACAAGACTAAGATAACCACTCACAAACAAACAAACACACACACACATATTTATACATATACTATATTGATAATATCTCATATGCCATGTGGTAATTTCATTAAACAATGTAGATTTGAATTTTGATAACAAGAGTGAATTTATCGAGTGTGAGAATGGATTGAAATTAAGAATTTGATTTAAGCAATATCGGCTAAATAGGTAGATTTTGATATATTGATCAATACAGACGAACTGATTTATATTTTTCGACATAAAGTGCACGCACATTATTTCCCTACCAAAACAAAAACAAAATGCTCAACTTCATGGGGTATTTATTTAAAAAAAAAATCTTTACCATAAAAATATATATCTCAAATTGTAGTTCTTTCCTTTGAATTTCTGTGTTCATTTTTTTTTCATCACACATAAACCTCATTTGAATCATTTAAATTAGTTAATCCAATTGTACCAAATATTAATATTTAGTTTCGTCGTACGATTATTAAATTATTTATTTATTTATTTTTGTCACTATTTATTTGAATAGAGAAACCCAAAGATTGCAAGTTTTAACAGTTGTGTGTTTTGTCTTTCCAAAGAATTCAGCAATCATTGAATAAAAATCTTTTAAGTGAATCGATTATTTTAGAATGTAATACGCAAACTTACCGATTTGCCAGAGAAAAAGTAAACGACATTTTGTTTTAAAAAGAAAACAGTAACGTATCTCATTTCGAAATGATTAAATTAACGAACTTACCGTTGTCAATCTTACTTACGAGATTCACATTAAGGTATAGTTAAGTGTTAAGATCCCAATATTGATTTACTGTGTCAAAGAAGAGTGAACAGTTTTTTTTTTTAATTAAGTAAGATGAATAAAGAAAATTTATAGTATATGAAACAATAGCTTTGTTTTTTTTCGATTTTAAAATTTGAGATATTTATGGACTTTTATCCAAAATAAAGGTAAGGCACAACAAATTTGATTTATTCTTTATTTTTATTTTTTAAATTTAAACTTTAATTTGTATAAAGTGTACACACTCGAGCTGTGTTGAGGTGAAAGCAAAGCTGAGCGACTGTTGAAATGCTCAACTTAATTTCTATTCGCTTAAATAATTAAAATGTATCTTTTTTTGTTGTTGTTCTTTTAAATTTTAATGATCCATTCACACAATAATAAACCTTTTTCACATGACAAACATACAATCATTGAATATTTAATACAAAAAATGTAGCACATAAATAATGCAAGCAAAATCTACTTTGAACAAAAGGAAATCAAATATGAAGGGATGGGAAAATGTTCAAATTGACTGGGTAGTTTTTGTTTTATTTATAAATTCATCAAACGAAACATTTGAAATGATGATTGTTTCTTTTTGAAATGATAAAACAAACTATTTTCTATTTGGGAAAATGTGAATATGTAAATATGTAGATACGTTTTTGAGTAATAGATTATTTTTGTTTCTTTCACTTTTTTAATGACACCCGAAGTAGTATGAAATTGGCGGTTTAATCCACGTTTCTCAGTATTAGTGCACACACACACACACACACACACACACACACACACATGGGCCATGGATTACCAACTCAGAAGCAAATCGAAATTAAATCGTGGTCAATGCCCGAAACCGAATGGTAAGAAAACCGAAAAGATATAAATGTGAAAATGCACACTTTCATACTAAATTAATTAGATCGATGGAATATACAGGCATTATAAATCGATTGATAATATTTAGATCAACTAAACCAAAGCCGCGAATGTTAAAACAACTTGCGGCAGAAGTTTACATCAATTCGAAACAGTGGATATATACATCAATATTAGACGTAATTCAATATAATTTTAATTATATGGCTTTTTCTATGAATACATCTGAAACATATAATTTTTTTGATATTTTATTGATTAAATTTATGTTTCAGTATTTCTTTAAAAGGAATGATACTAATTTTCCTGTATTTAATTTAATTTGCAAATGTACTTTTGGATTGAAAAATAAGAATCATGTGAAGGAAGATTATGCATCAAGCAAAGATGTATGTGTTTTATGTAATGCAGTTCAACATTACAATTTTAAAAAATATTCGCTTTGTGAAAACAAACTAGTTTGTCTTTGTGAAGATTAAATTTTTATTTTTATTTTTTGAATATTCATAAACTTCATTTGATTGATCTTGATCATAAATCTATCATCTATTAAATTTAATTCAAATACTTGAGACAATTTCAAAAAATAAAATGATTGAAAATTGGAAAACACCTGCAAGCGTTTTATTTTTTTAGTTCTTGTCAGTCTTTCTATTGCATTGAAAATCAATAGA